CAAAACAGAACACCGAGCCCCTCATTCAAGACTGGTAGAAACTGGCGAGAACAGGAGAATGGTGCGCGCGGGTACGTCAAAGCAACGAGCACTGGTTGGAATGATCAGTGCTTAGACGCAAATCTAGCTGCCTTTATCTCTACTCAGTGTTCGAACGCGATCTAGTGCAAAGGCTGGACGTTGGCGTTCGACTTTTGAACGCGTTCGATCACTGAGTAGGGATAAAGGCAGCTAGCTTTGCGTCTACCCGCTAATCATTCTAGTGAGAGCGAATTCTGCTTCTCCTCTTCCTCAGTTAATACCTGCTTAGATAGTCATATATTTGTGACAGCTTGTGCAGTGGGCACGAGCAGCGATATGATGCCCGTTTTTCTGACGCACGACCGGAACAAGCCCTACCGCTTCCTTCGCCGGCTTGTGATGTCAACGGTCATCATAATCACGTGCCTGGGCTGTCAATAATAGTTGCACTATACATTGCTTTATCATATGTCATAGAGCAGTCTAAGACTCGAATAGATGCAGACACCTAACACAGGCATTAAAAGATGAAGCCACGATTCACCTTAGTTCAGAACGCAGCTAAAAAGCCGATGGACCGAATCGAGTAACGTCTAATTCGTTAGATTCCATGGGTTCGCTTCTTTATGCGTGAGTTGTTACTGGCAAAACGAATCATGTAGTTTTAGTTTGTGCGTTTTTGCCAGAGTGTCATGTAAACTTTGACTCCTCTTTGACTTTTAGTGGAACAAAGTATGTGAGAAATGCCCAATGTGCTCAATCACCTTATCCTCATCGTATGAACTACGCAAACCAATTAAATTTCGTGGTTGTACGCAGCTCCTGCTAACCAGGGCGAACAGCCGTCTGTGAAGCTTTTCGAGACCAAAGAATTCACCGGAGTAAATGTGTCCAAGCTGAGTGCAGGATTGGCCTTTCAAAAGTACATCGCAACGGCGGCCATTCAAGCGGTCAAGATCAGCATCGCTGACGTTATGACCAATAAGGTTGCCCCAATCCTGAACTGTACGCTGAAGGAAGTGCCGTACCCTGCTTTCGCGTCAGAGTGACTGCAAATGGGACGCACCCGTACATTCCTCACTTCAAGTGTTACTGTAATCAATTTTTAATTCTGGTAACGACTGCTTCAATACACAACTGCATAACTCTCCGTAAGCCGAAATTGAAATTAGTGTAAGGTTTCTCAGTCCATAGATAAGTCTAACTCTGAATTATACTAGTTCTTACCATACCTGCTTCAATTATTTACCTGCAACTAAGAAAGCTCAGGGCATGACTTAGTATTTAACGCATCTTGCTTCGTGCTGTGTTCTCTGGCCATCCCCGTCGCTCAATTAATACAACTCATTGGTTGCGCAGTGATAATACAATAAAACCATCGAGGATCAGGAAACTTGTAAGAGCAAATGAAGGCGGACATAAAGAGACGGCGAAACACTAACAAGTTTCCCCTTTCCGTGTCCTCTAGTGTCCGTTTCTGTTCGCGCTTAACAGTTCTTTTTTTTTTTTTTTTTTTTCTTATCTTGCGCGCCGACTTGCCCCAAAAAGAAAGGCACGTTAAACTATTTTTTTTTTCCAGGATAGCTACGTTTGACGTCAAACAAATTAGAAACAAAAGTGACGTAACGGTAGGAGCAAGTGTCCAAGGAATGCCACTCACAGGGGAACCGCCCTCTTTGACACTGTAAGGACGTGGCGAGATTGGCATCTTTCAGTCTTTTGAGAGATGTGAAGTGCCAACCCGGAAGTACGTACGCTGTCCCCTTGGCATACCTATGGTGCCCCGGACCTTCCTACTCCCTACACGAGCGTTCATTTCTCCAGCAACCGGAGTAGTAAAGTTGAAGCTTGGGCAAGCTCTCTGTCTCTGTCTGCCTTCATCAGATCCGCCGTTTTTTGCCCTCTTTTCATATGCTCAACGCGAGGACCAGTTCTGCTTTGTAGCGAAGCAACGGGAGACAATCTTGTTGGAGCTCCACAGTAGCGTAGCATCTAGTTTAAAGTATACTTGCAACCAAATAAGTTAATAATGGCATATAAATAAAATATTTATTGTTGGGCAAAACGCATTTTGAATGATGTTCCAAAGCTAGGAGTGTCCATCAGCTGTTTCCGAACATGGCAGACAGATGTCTGATAACAAGCGTCCAAACAAAACGTTTGCGGAGTCGTGGATCTAACGTATTGTTTGTTGTTGTGACATCAACGTAATTGAAAAAGCTCCTTAACCAATCTGGCTCAAGAGCTCGGCAACAATTGGAACCACGTCTAGAGAATCATGAACCACGACTTTGCCAAAAGAATGGGGCGCAGCGCCAAATGGAATGGCAATCTTGGACTCCCGAAACTTTGCGACCGGGTGCTAAATACGCCTCTACTTACGAAAGAAACCAACAAAGTGTTTGCCTGCGATCGCATGAGACTTGGTGGGCCTCTCTGTTGCCATTCAGGAAAAACAACATACACAAGACCCATTGATGAACAATTTGTGAAATTCTCTAGAGCGAGAGGGTAAGCGTTTTCGAAAAAAAACTAATTTGAACTAGCTCTCCTACAAAGGAGAACAAAAGTTATGATCATGATCCCCTCACTTTTCAACGTGCATGAGCGCTTGGAAGGGCTAAGAAGGCACCCTAGATAAAAGTTCGCGCAATGTGGGAATTTATCTGGGTTCTAAGCTTACTCGGAAAAGCGAGTCTCCCCTAAGCCGCCAAAAAAAAAAAGAAAAAGAAAAGCGGTTTGTTTGCCTGCTGACTACGGAGATCTGCCACTTCGGTACGCTCTGATTGGAAACCATTCTACACGACCGTCGATTTGAAGTTGTTAATGGCAGTTTTGGAACGCGGTACAAACACATAGCCAATTCGCCTGCCCTCGTTCCCCAAGTTAACTTCAGTCGAAGCGCCGCACACTTTGTGCGTGCACACTTTATCCAAGAATTCTTCGCAGGCACTCGAAATTTGGCGACTGGTAAAAATATTACATTGTTACGCGGTATCACAGCTCCCCTCCTAAATTTAGCAGCGAAACCGTGACTTCATGAGACATAATGTCACATCTCGCTCCGATATCCCGAGGTATCTCGACGCAACATTACTAGATTTGGTCAGTTGTGATACTTTGGCAAAAGTCCCCCACCTCCCCTCACTCCCTTCGGTCTGCCTTTCGTCTTTTAAAGCGCCATCGATATTTTAATTTCAAAACTGTGTGTTCTATAGAGTACAGTGAAACGCCATCTAGACAATAGGCTTCTAGACAAACGTAGAAAATGCAATGTAGTTACCATAGCAGCCTATACTCCAAAACGGCGGTGCATCAACGACGGGAGATGAATCCTGGCATGGCCTTGGGGGGAAAGTGTGTGTGTGTGTGGAAGGGGGGGGGGGGGGTGGGGCACTGCTCGCGCAAGCAGCGTAAATGAGCAGTTAAGTTGCAGAGCTGATCCGGTAACGTTTTCTTGACGTGGCAGATATGTGTTGTGACGTCACATCGCATGACGTCATCTGGAGTCCATTTCCCCGCAATGTTTTGTCTGGACAGTTATCATTTCACGTCACAATGACTAGATAACGTCACCTAGCTCCCGCTATATTCCCAGGTATAATTAGCGGTGGATTCGTCCGCTAAATCTAAAATGGGGAAAATCTTTACGGGCCGTCGAAGTGATACGTGAGACCGTAATTCCCCGCTAAATGTTAAGCGTTCCATGCTAAATCTAGCGGGCCACACCACCCACCTTGTACCATACACACACCGGGATCTACCGGAAAACCTCGCCTATAACGGACAAATAGCTTGAGAGGTTGAGTTTCTTTGGAACACTCACTGGCGCTCCAGAAAATGGACTCCAGATTATTTCCTCCTTCAAGTCGCGTACTCACTGATTTTGGATTAAATGCAAAGAGAGATAGCGGACCAGGAGATAGTAAGTGTACCGTGGCTTCATGTTACCCGAGATAACGACAACGAAAGCGCGTACTGACCGACTAGGAATGCTGGCATTAAAAATATGATTGGGAATATTTTAAGATTAAGCTCAGAAATAGTTATGCTTTTCTCTCGCGATTCAGGAAATTTTGTCAACTGTAGTACGAGTGTCTTACCACTGATCAAAAGCATAGGTTGCAAGACAGTTAAATATTTTAATGTTTTAGAAAATGTTATGTTATTTTTAGTATTAGGAGATATATATAGGTGGGAGGGTCGGTATGTTTGTCTCACTATCAGGTTAAATAATAATTTCAGAAATTGTTTTAGCAGGATGTATTTTTAATACAAAGAAAAAATTGTCTTTCCCGATTGTTTTCTAAATTTGTGGCATCCCATTATGTGAACGTTTTCCTAACATTTCTTGTAAGGTGAATATTCTCTAAAAAAGACCGAAAAGCCCCACGTGAATTTTTTATTATCTTAATAGTAATGACATTTGTGAGTAGATTTTCGCCACGCTTTCCTCCACGTTTTAATGAGGAAAGAATGTATCTGGAAACTGACCATATCCGCGAAAACGCAATGGACAATCTTATTACGTCGTTTTTGCAGGGCCAGCCTTGCGCATGATATACCAGTGGGTACTGTAGCACGCCCGGGCCCTGCACATGTGCTTTACGTCTTGCTAAAATTTAATAATTTAGTGGTTTTGAATGAAACTTCGGCAAGTTTAAAATTGAAACCATATGTTTATTATCGCAAACTAAAAACTCTATCAAATCAGTTTTGTTTCAATATTTGAGTTATAGCAACGACTACTCCCCTAGACTATATCTCCCTAACCGTAAAACTCACCTGCGCATACCGCATTGGCGTGCCTTTCGTGGCTTCTGTATTAAGATATATTTTCGAGTTCAAATCAAGCCCACTGCATGTCCGTGCTTTAAAACTCTCCCAACCGGACTTGGACTTGTCCTCTCGACGATATCGTACACCGTCAAGGGGGAGGATACACGGAATCTTGCAGAGAGGGAAAGTGGCCCCGACGACAGAAGAGACGACGGCAGTCACTGAGATTACAGACACTCCTATCGAATATATTTGCTGCGACGGGAGTCTTTGGAAAGCGGTGCTCTTTCGAGGCGTTCGCAGAGCCTAGTGCCGCACGATGGACCACATCTGGGCTCGTATTTTAATAGGGTGAGTTTTCGAAAATGCACTCTTCTACTTGTAGCAGATCCTATAAACAAATGCTAGAACAGCATCCCCACTGGGGTCCCATGAGTGTTATAACGCGCAGCTTGCGCGTGAACATAGCTCTAGCAGGCTTGAATTTGCATGAGCTCGTCTGTACTAGTGGAGACATGGCGGCGCCCGGTGGCCTTGCTTTCAATCGCCTAGAACTATATTTCAATACATGTAGCATGCAGACTGAGCTAGCGAGCACCAGCTCGGAGCACGTAGAGTCAAAACTCGCTCGGATCCTGGGTTAAATTCCCACTCCTGCCCGTTTCGACCTGGATGAGCATCGTACTGGAGGGTGGTCGTGTGTCACTACTGCCTGATGCATGTTAAGGACCACGGATTAGGGGTTGTATTGCACCGGTTAAATTTCTGTTCAATACATAAGACACCAGACGCCCATTGTGGCTGACTAACGTCCGACTTTTTAGACGTACATATAGCATTATTATTATCTGAGAACATAGGTTGAATGCGTGATTTGCTTTTGAACGACGCGCATCTTAATTTTTTTATATAGCTCACTTCTGCTATGTGTACTCAGTTATGTAAATAATATTAAATAAAAAATTAAATTGCAAGTAAGCTGATGAAGGTTATTTGTACTAGTTGTTTTTACTATAGACTTGGGTTTTTCTACAGGACAAAAGAAACAAAGAGCACTCTGGAACAAAGTGGAATGTTATTGTACACGACAGGCCCTTAAATAGGTGGCGATACTCAACAAAAGCATAAAGCGAGACACCAAAAAACCTTTTTCACAAGTATAATTTCGCTTACAATAAAAACTCTACAACGGAAACATTTGCTCTGGAGCACTGCAACCTTTTACTGAACTCAACTATCTATTGTTTCCAAGAGCAAGAGCACAAAAAGACTACTAACATAGGGGTTACCACAATAAAAAGGACAAAAGGGACTGTCCTTAAAGTTGCGATCCCCCTTCCCTCTTAAAACAAACAAGCAGAAGACGTACACAATTTTAGTGTCCAAAACAAGCAAACATCACACCTGATTCTACGAAAAAGAAATAAAACATATATAGTTTTGATAGCCTTGCCTTAGACGACACGTTGGGAGAAAATGTTTGGCATGGGTGTATGAGCGCAAGAGGCGTAGATAAGGTTCATTTCTTACCTGACCTTCCCGCGCGAAGTAAAGATGGGTTACGACCGTCAAGAGGTATAATTACGATGGATGTTAATATCAACGGGCGACTGACGCGCATGGTGCTATCACTGCCATGGATCAGCTTTTGTTGTGGCTTGCGCACCTTATCGCGTTTTTTGCCGCATTTGATTCGCAAGGCGCGCAAGCCACGGCAGCTGTCGCGTAATGCAAGGCGCTGGCAATACGTGGTGGTGGACATGGATGCTTGTTCACTGTTATATGGATTGCAACCGTACCTACTTTACGATAAATATAAACATGACACTACTTTTAAATTTCACTCGTGTACAAAAAACAAAAACAAATTTTCGTTCAAGGTGATTGTAGTCGATATTTGTTCGTTTTTTGAACTAGAATATGTCTGAATCTAGCAAAAAAAAGCACTTTTGAACACCTTTACAGCAATGCGCTTCTGACAAAGAGTGCGAATCGGTGTTCTTTTTTTTTTCTTAAAAACCGGCTAGGTGTAAGTGTTCCAATTTTGAGGCTTGATACTTATCATAAGTGACGAGTGTTGAAAGTACGACCTGAGCAACAAGCTGCAGAATTGGTCGCCTGCATAAACTGAGAATGTGTGCACTTATAGGAACACTGTATGTGTATTTATTTTGTTTTCCTTCGCTTCCTTCTGTACTTTTAGAGATTGTGAATGATCTCAAGTATAGCAAACATATAATATGCGTATCATTTTTTTCACAGTTATCGCAAACCAGACACCTAGTACTGGTACAGGACGCGGGTGGGAAATACTGTGAGCAAACGGTTTAAGATGGTTAGGCGTGCGGTCGTTTGTCACTACTGAGTGGTGCACATTAAAGACCCCAGATTAGCCATTGTACGGCACCGGCTAAAGGTGTCACCTACACCTGGGAGACAAGTTGCGCGTTGAGGCAGACTCCTTTCTGGGCTGTATAAGCATATTCACACCCCAATCTCCTTTTAGAAATATTTAGGATGCCTAGCCGCCCAAACAATAACGCAGAAATAAAAACTACACTAACAACAAATATTATAGGTTTTATCTTACGGTCGTAGTTTTCACTATCTTTTTCTAACAAAGTCGAGAAAACCGGATTACTCTCTTTACCGCAGAAGGCGAGATGGTTGCACCTTTGTAGTATGATGTATCTCAAGCGTCTTCGTTCCATCACACAGGAGCAGTACAGCATCACGCACGAGGAGTACCCCTCTCTTTAGAATCGTGTTTTGCAGCGTAAGTGTTATTGCAAAAAAAAAAAAACGTGTTGCAGAGGTACAGATATAGGTGCATTCAATTCAGTAGAGCTCCACTTCTGTGACCCTAATATCATGACCAGGATCCAAGGTAGCTGACTCAGAACCTTCGTTCCTGCTTCGTTCCCTCACCTGAACACTTTGTCTGACAGACGCGCACTGCCGCGAGGCACTAGGTTACGCTTAGGGTATTTACACCCAACCCCACAATTGCCTTGGGGTGGTTATCATTTTGCTTTGACTGTAGAGCGGGACGAATTTGTTGTAATTACCATTCTAATATATTCTTCCTAAGCTTAAGATTCAATGTCAAGTTCAAGCAATATCGTTTTATTTGTTTTTATTAACCGCGCATTGTTTTAAGATAGAGAGGGCGGACACGGGCTTTCTTCATTTCCAAATGAAATTTGAGATAACTTTAACCAGTGATTTCTCAGGAAGAATGTAGCGTATCTGTTTTAGTCTGAAGCGTAACATATTCAGTGGCTCTTCAATGTACACATGAAGTGTAAAATATTTATTGCTACGTAATAAAGTATTGTTTTCTTAGCTATCTGGTTCTCCACTAAAGTGTGGTTAGTATTGTGCACTGTCAAAAAACCTAATAGAATTTGAAATTTGTGTTTGTTAAGTTTGATATCAATTTAAGTTTAAACTAAGTCTTCAGTTTCTAAAGGAACCTGACGTGGCCCGAGAGCGAAGCGCTATTTGCCGGTTTGAAACTTCAATTGGGTTAATGTTTATATACTGAAACCAGCTCCAAATAAACTTGTTGTTTGTGCTGTAGGTTGCTGTAACAAGTATGCCGCATAGATATTCAACACCTGTAGCAGCCAAATCCTGCTGCCGGCAGAACCTGCACAAAAATATATATCTGACATTTAAATGGCCAAGGTGATTTTAATGTTTTTTTTACATTCACTGAAAACGCCAATATATTGTCGCGTTTTCATGAAAAAAAGAAGGCTAAAATAAATTTGCATCGTCGTTCGGTCTCACTTTTGTTTGTGGATTTAGCACATATCTAGGAAACATGGAACTCAATGTTTAGATTCTTTGTTGGTATAAAATGACATAAAAAGTCTCTCTGCCTCTCAGGTAGTAGTATTCGTTGCAGATTAATGTTTACTTTGAGGGACGATCAGAACTACACTCTCCTCAGCAGACGAAGCACGGATTCTCAAATTTTTTTTTTTTTGAGTTCAACGGTGATTCTAACACATCATTGAGAAATAATAACCACGAAACGGTGCCAGTGATTAGTTGCATACTTGTACTCCTCTTTTACTTGCGGCACAGCGTTTTGAAAGTTTAAACAGCTGGCCGCCATAAAACGGTCAAGAACTACCTTTTTAGCATCTTGTTGAAGTGGAATCCTCGCAGATGTCCTTTAAATTTATGTAAGCGCTTATGTAAAAAAACTGACAACGTTTCTACGCTGAATTTCTGAGAATCTGTGTACCGGCCTGTGAGTCCGTTTCTGGAGTATAATGCTACAAAATGCTCGATATTAAAGTTACAGGACTAGGGAATATTCTGGCTTGGTGCGCGAATATATTTAAAGAACTTTTAGAATTTCTTATTGGTCATTCGGCAGTTTATGTTGACTTAAAAGTTTTCCTTAATTTTTTGCTTTCCGTCTTTCAACTAGCATGGACGCCAAAATATAGCAAACACCTGTTTGCGGTGTTTAATTCAAGTATCAAAAGGTAATTCTTAATACATTTATTGACGAAGTAGCATTGACCAGGTAGAATGTTGTTAACCAACTTCAAAACGGATAGCAGGATACTCATATGGGACAAACAAATACATGTAACGAAAAACGGAGAAAAAATGAGTTACATCAAATAATTTACATTGAGGCAGTTCCAAAAGGTATCCTACAGCCGCAATTTTCTTCGCTTAATGGCAAATGAAGCGCTTATAATCCTATCACAGCCTCCAAAATTACCGGTGCTTTTTCAGCCGTTACACTCGTCCAAAAAGAACTGTAGCTGAAGAAACAGATTTATTGCTTTTTTTTCAATACCACAATGAGGTGTGTCATGCGAAATCCGGATTTCTGTACTAAGCGCACTATGCTTGCTAGACCGACAGCGTAAGATAAGATACGTGCTACTACCTGTACACAACGTGAATCTAATCAGCCATCGACATGTGACTACGTGTCCACCTGAGTACGTGATATGTTACTACGTAATTTACTTTCAGAAAGTTCATAAGGAATAAATTTGGTATGTGGCATACGACTGCTAGCCTAGACCTTTTAACGTGGATCAAGTAACGTATGCGTAATATATGCAAATCATTTATTCACATACACTGAAAAAAAAAAAAGTGGACAGAAAGCATTTGCAATGAAGCGAAAAATCACTTCGAGCAAAGGCTCAAAGAGTAAAACAAAAAGAAAGAATCTTCAGATGAACCAGGCGCGATTTTTCCCATGCACCATCGTACCACAGAAACCCTTCTTAGGTTCAAGCATTCCCAAGTCCAGTTTCAAAGACGGCCAAAAAGAGATCCACTGTTGAAGAGGATTTGTGTGGAACAGC